AAAAAATCATCTGGTAGAAAAAAAAAAAAAGAATATATTACAATTAGATTTTGTGAAGATAATATTTACATAATTCGAAAGCTGTGACCACTTAATGCTTTTAAAAGTACCCAAATAGAATAACCCTTAAGCCCAACACAAATGGATAAACTTCGAGCCTGTTTAGGCCCCTAAGGCGCTAACTCCTCCCATCTATTAATAACTACTCTGTTCGGTAATTGCCTTAGAGTGGGATGGTTTTTACCAACTTCCTTCGTGGCTGGTTTTCATCTCATGTATTAAGGATTATATTGTCCGTCTGAAAGTATACCACTCTCATGTATTAAGGATTTTCTCCACTTATTGGGTGATGTGGCCAACAGAATCGTGAATTTTACTGCCCATTTTGTAAGCCCTAAATCCTCATCAACCTACATACTAATTGACCCTAAATTTGATTAACTCCCATTTAAAAAATGATAATAGAAGAATTTTTAAAGGTTAAAAGCCATTCTTACCTTCATTCTATGACAAAGGCAGAGAATCTCCAAAACCAAATTCCTCTGAACTGCTTGAGGGAACCTGATTAAGAACAAAGAGAAGAATGTGAAGGTGATGATGCTGCAGAGACATCCCAGCCTTATAACAAAGGTACAAAATAATCTGGACAAAGGTACAAAATAATCTGGAGGAAAAGCCAAAAAAGCTACGGTTGTTAAGGTGTCAGAGGGAACAGGATTGCTTTGTTGATGATGCTACAGGGTTGAACATTCTAAATGTAAGCATTCAGGTTACCACGTCAGTTATTTGATCACTGGATTATTTATTTATTTATTTATTTATGTATTCTTAATTTCACTTGTATAAACTGTCTCTGAAAAAGGCAACTTAATCTTTTGCATTTTTTTTTTAATTGGCAAAGAAACAATATGTTAAAATGGAGTACAAAAGGGACTTCAAACCCATATGCATCAAAGACTACCAGCACCCAGTTTCAAAACATACAACTGAGCATCTGAACTTCTTCCCTATTCATTGCTAATAATACTTGAAATTACAAACAAAAGGCTAACCTTCATTTCGATGGAGGATAGAGAGATTGAAGGTCTTACGAAGGAGCCAATGACAATGATGGTACTAAAGTGGTAGGGACACTGATATTACAGGATGCATAGAATTCAGCCGAAGACTTGCAGGCCTTCGCCACACTTTTTCTCCGTGAAATATCTTCCACAAAGCATCCAAAATCACCTTTCAATCAAATTCCCTTATCGTCTTCTTCCGTAGAAAAGTCCTCCATTACAAAGTATGTGGTCAACGTCAATCGCCCACTCTTTTACTCTGATTTTTAAACGATCTCTGAATTATAAAAAGAAAAAAAAAAACCTACTAATTAAACAAAGGTCCACTTTTTGGCCAAAAGAAAAAAATTTACTCTCCAAATGAATCCGCTGTCACTCATCACTTTCCTCATACCTCTCCTCCATGTCCTCCTCTCGTCCGCCAGCGCCGCTGGTTACAACGCCACAGACATCATACTCCTCGACTGCGGTGCAACTTCAAACACCACATCACCGGATGGCCGCAAGTGGGAGGCCGATCCTCACTCTAAATATTCCCCCTTCAACAACCCAAACGCATCGTTTTCTTCGGATGCCTCCCGCCAAAACCCCTCTGTTACCCGAGTTCCCTATGGCTCTGCACTTATCATTCGCTCTAAGTTCACCTTCAAATTCCCAGTACTTCCCGGTCCAAAGTTCCTCCGTCTCTACTTCTACCCAGAAACATACGCCGGTCTTGACCCAACTACCTCCTTCTTCTCTGTCACCGCCAATGGGTACGCCCTCTTGAATAACTTCAGTGCTTCTTTAACGGCTCCCGCCATGGTTCCTCCTGCGGCCTCCTTGATCAAAGAGTATGTTGTGCCAGTCTGGGACAACCAGATGCTTAATGTAACCTTTACCCCATCACCGAGATCTTTCGCTTTCATTAATGCCATCGAAATTGTTTCCTTGCCAAGCGGCCTTTATGCAAACGGTAGTGAAATCCCACTCATGCCTGCAGAACTTGGCAATTCATTAACTTTGGATAACACCACTGCCCTCGAGACTATGTACCGTCTCAATGTTGGTGGAAGTCAAATTGAGAGCAATGAGGACACCGGAATGTACCGGACATGGCGTCAAGATGATTATTATCTGGTTGCATCAAGCTGGGTTGTTGCTAATAAGTTATCGGATTCACTGATTAAATATACCCAAGACACACCGGAGTACACTGCACCAAAAGAAGTTTACACTACCTTCCGTACAATGAGCGGTGATCCTTCGTTTAATCTGAAAAATAAGATTACCTGGATCTTCACTGTCGATGCAGGGTTCTACTACCTCATCAGGCTTCATTTCTGTGAGCTCATTGTTTCCTCGTATAATCAAATTGTTTTCGACATATTCATTAACAATCAAGTGGCGAAGGAACTGGTAGATGTATTTGAAGAGGCGAACGGCTCTGGGATTCCGATTCATAAAGATTATATCGTTTTGGTCGAGAACGGAGAGAAAGCGAAGGAACTTCGGCTAGATCTGCAGCCTGATCTAGCATCAACGGCAGTATATGCCAATGCTTTCTTGAACGGTTTAGAGATTTTCAAATTGAATCGAACTGATGGTAGCCTAGCAGGGCCAAATCCTGATCCAATCCCTAGTCCTCAACCACCAGAATCGCTGCCGAGGAGTCCAAAAAGCAATGAAAAATCAACAATTTTGCCTATCGTTGGAGCTATCCTCGGTGGTTTTGCTCTGTTTTCTCTCCTCCTAAGCTTGTTTATTTTCCAGAGAAGAAGGAAACTAAAAGACTCTTCGTCTTTCACATCAGTGTTCTCTACCACAAAAAGATCGTCCTCGCTACCGTCCGATCTCTGTCGTCACTTCTCAATAGCCGAGATCAAAGCTGCCACGCAAGATTTTGAGGATACGTTTTTAATTGGAAGAGGAGGATTTGGCAACGTTTACAAAGGGATTATCAATGATGGAACCGCCACCATTGCAATCAAACGTTTAAACCCTTCATCAAGGCAAGGGGCCCATGAGTTCTACACCGAAATCGCCATGCTTTCGAATCTTCGACACAGGCATCTTGTTTCTCTAATTGGATACTGTGATGATCACGGCGAGATGATCCTGGTGTACGATTACATGGCACGTGGCACACTCCGCGATTATCTTGACGGAACCAAGAATCTCTCATTATCATGGAAACAACGGCTGGAGATCTGCATTGGGGCAGCGCGTGGGTTGCACCATCTCCATAGAGAGGCAAAGCATGTTATCATCCACCGCGATGTGAAATCATCAAATATATTATTGGATGAAAATTTAATGGCAAAGGTGTCAGATTTTGGTTTGTCGAAACTAGGTCCTACAACCACATCCGAGACCCACGTCAGCACCATGGTGAAAGGTAGTTTTGGGTACATAGATCCAGAGTATTATCGCTTGCAGCGACTGACTGAGAAATCTGACGTGTACTCTTTTGGTGTGGTCTTGTTTGAGGTGCTGTCTGGTAAGCCACCGATCTTCCAAGGCCTGTCAGAGGAGAAAGTGGGCCTAGCCCGATGGGCCGGTAATTGTTATAAAAATGGAAGCCTTGATGAAATCGTGGACCCATATTTGACAGGTCACATTACGCCGATGGCCTTACAGAAGTTTGGTGAGGTCGCAGAGAATTGTGTGCGCGAACGTGGAAATGAACGGCCAACAATGAGGGAGATCGTGGGGGCATTGGAGTTTATATTGCTGCTTGAGGAAACCATAGAGGAAAACTCGAACAGCAGCGATGCTATCATCACCAATGAGCATTCAAGTGAGAATATAATAAAATCTCAATCCACATCAATCGAATAATTAATAGTCAATTAAGAAATTAGTTAATGGTATTTCTTAATAGTTACTAGTATGATTTTTACTCAAAAGTTGATTAAGAAATACCTGTTAGTAGACGGTATGTTAAATTTAGCCGAACGTGTGATTAGTTATCTGTGAGAGAGTGCATAAGACTGCTGCTTGTTGATTGTGTGATTGGCGTTGGTTGTTGATGCCATTGTGTGTAATAGGCATGTGTGCACCCAGTTAAAAGCCTTGTTTTTTCCCCACCTTTTATTTTTTTGGTTGCTTGTGTAGATTTTTCTAGATGAGGTATATATTTTGTAATTTAAATTATATTATATTATAAAATAAAAATTATTAAATATAAAATATTTTTAATATTAAGAGTTTGTCTTATTTACTAATTGAAATTATACAATATAATATATATAATTTAAATTATACAATTCTTTCTTCTTTTTTTTTTTTCGTTTCTAGATCTCACAATAATTGTTTCTAGTGTTTAGACTACCATATCTATACTTTCAATTTTATTCAACCGATTTTTTTCTTACAATATAATTTTTTTGAAAGAAATCCCTTCCAATTATCACCCACTATCAAACTTCACTTTTTCTCATTTTCTCTTACCGCCAAGTGTCTTCTACAGTAGAAAATTCCAACTTTATGTTAAACGTCAATCCGGCATTTCATTCAAAAAGAAAGCGATCAATTAAAGGAACGGAAGTTTGAAACCGATGGTATTTGATCGCACGATCTTCCGAAGAGTCCAGTTGAACACTCTCCTGCTGCTAATCGATGTGTGCGGGTAACCCTGATCGCTAACTCGTTCACCGCCACCTTTATCCGAGTGGGCTCACTCTCCATACTTCTGCTATTGACTGAGTCACTGAGTCAAGGAGATGCTTCACAGTTCACAATCTCTTTCGCTGGCCTTCGGAACACTTTTAAGTGTCTGTGGCTCTGATCTGGGTGTTAATGAATGGAGTTAGTGCAGTGCGCATAATAGGGTTTATTCTCCAGGAAATTGCTATTGTGCGCGTCCGCAGTTATTGCCATCTGGTAGCTTAAAACAGAAGGGTCTGTCATCCATTGTGGAAGGTCGGTTTTATTAGTAGATTGGGCCAACCAGCGAAAATTAGGCCTGTTAGCTGGCTCGTTAAAATTGAGCCCAATCCACCTTTGGTCCATTGGGACATATTATTAGGCTTGCAACTAGGTAATATTTCGGATAGGGCCTAAAAAGCGAAAAACACAAAAAAAAAA